TCAGACTCCAATTATCAAATTAATTTCTCTAAAAAAAAGAAAAAATCTGACAGCAACCTGTCTGGTTGTTCTAGCACATAAATGACCCTGGCTAGATTTTTATGGGGAGTAAAGAGGAAATAGACAATACATGACAGGTTTTCAGTGTGCGTTATGTTGTCCTCTTGCAAAGTGATAGGCAAAATCATACTTGTTTTTACATTTACATCCACATCTATTACACTGGAAAGGGTTTTCATGGCTGTGACATCCCATGTGAATAGTGTGAAGGATACTGTCTGAAAAATACACATCACAGTGCTGGCAGTGGGATAGAAGCTGAGGGTCCTGGAGCAGCAGGGTTGGGACTGGAGCTGGGCTGGCTGTTTCTTAGGCTGGGAATGCTGGTGCGGCCATTTGGTTCGCTGCTGGGCCCTGCCACTGGGCTGAAGTTTCTTTGACAGTGTGGTGGACAAGGATCAGAGGTTGTGGGAGAGAGGCTCTGAGGGATACTGGCTGACACAGCAGAGATGACGGCTTGGGCCTAGGGCTGCCGATTCAGGAAAGGCTTTTCATCTGGGCAGGACACCACATCAGGGGATGCAGGGTTTTGGTTCTCAGGTGGCAAACTGGACAATTGGGCTGCTAGAGCTGAGAGCTGATTTAAAGGTTTGTCCGCTATGAGCTCTTGGGAAACATTTGGGAGACCACCAGTGGGGGTGGCTTTCGCCATCATTTCATAGACATCAGTGTGGTGAGTGGGGATCCCATAGGTGAAATCGTTAAGGTGGTCTGGTTTCTGAACCTCCACGGTGAGTGGACTTACTCTGATTAGCGTTCGTTTGCTATTAGCCCCAACTGCTTGTTTTCTTCTTTAAAACACCCCATCTCTTCTTGCTACCCAAGGAGCACCAGTCCTTTTAATTGGTACCTTTTTATGCTCGCGCCATTGATGACAGGACAGGTTGTTACGGTCACTGCAGTGAAAGGAGCATACATCACGTCTGCATGGTTTTTCTCAGGTATATGAACATATATGGGCTTCCAGGTGACGCTCATAAGTGGATGCAAATGGACGTAGGCGGCACCTTTGAGTTTCTCACCTGTGTGAATTCTAAGGTGCTCGATAAGCCGGGCTGTTGTAGTACCGATGCTTGAGCTTCCCATCAAAGGTCCTTTCAAACCTCTCTACTAACATTGCCGAGTTGTCTTCCAGGGAAACCTCAACAATCAGATCCATTTTGATCACCACCTGTGGCGGCTCCCTGAAGATCCTCTGCTTCTTTGTCCCCTGTAACTGATCCAGAGTCATGTTCACATGATGAGCCAGAGAGTCCCGAAAAGCTTTCACAAGTCCAAAGGCTCTGGTTCGGATTGACTGGTTTCTGAGCTGACCTCGTTTCTCCTTTCCTGCTTCTGTATTCATCTAGACTCTCTTCTCCTGCTGCTGCTATTTGGAGTTTTGAGATCTCAGTCTGTTGATTTTCTTTCATTGTTCAGTGAATTAGTTCCTGGGAGAGTAAAGCATCCACCCACTTTGCCGTCTTCTACCTCTTCCATAGGGTTTTCTATTACTGATGTTTTGAAAATAGAATGCCAGGCCTTTTTTCCCAAGGTAGCTCCTGGTGGACTTGAATCTTCAACTTTTTTTTTTTTAGCAGTCTAATGCTTAACTAATTACACTACCTGGGTTTCCTCCTCCATTTTAAATATCCTATAATTTCTTTAACCAGTTATCTATATTTGAAAATTTAGGTGTGTTTTCAATGTTTTTCTTGGTAGGCATCCTACAATACATATTTATGAGCGTTAATCTGATTATTTCCTCCAGATAATTCCTGGATATGAAATTGCTGGTCCAAAAAGATACACTTTTTGTAAGACTTGATCCATGTTGTTACCTATCTTAAAGAAGAGTACTGCCACGTTTCTTTTGTTCTCTCTAGTCACTATCTTTGAGAGTGCTAGGTTTATTTACACATACTCTGCTGATAATATTCTTTCTAATCTTCTTTTTATAGTTATCTACAGTTTCTGTTGTTTTCTTTATTAATTTTTTTTAAATTTTGTATTGAGATTTTTTAATGAAAGTTTCTGAGAACTTGGATTTCCATTCATTAATAATCTTTACTTTTTACAATTAAAAAAAATTGTTGTAGGATGCTGCTTCCTTGGCATGGATCTTTTGTGTACTTTTGGAAATGAAGCTCATATTTTCCTTTTATCCTATGGCCTTGGGCTGGGGAGTTCCCCCTCAGGGGTGATCCTGACAGCCATTTCCCCTTAGGCCCAGCAGGAGACCCAGAAGGCTGCACTGCGGTACGAGCGGGCTGTGAGCATGCACAACGCTGCCCGGGAGATGGTGTTTGTGGCCGAGCAGGGCGTCATGGCTGACAAGAACCAACTGGACCCTACGTGGCAGGAGATGCTCAACCACGCTACCTGCAAGGTGAGCTGGGGCACCTGCCCTCACGTTTCATGCTGCAGTTTCCACAAACTCCTTTGTTTCTTCTTCATTTCTCTTTTTTTCCCTTTTGCATCCCAATCTTCCTTCAACTATGATTCTGTCTCTCCCAAAACCTATAGCTTGTTGTGTGCCCTGTTTGGCATCTATTACTGCCCATATTGCATTTTCCTTTGACTTAAAATGCTTTCCTGACTGTTTGCAACCTTTGCCTCTTGATGGGTGACTAATAATAAGCTTTTATCTCTGGCAGATGCTTCCCAGTTCTGCTCTCTGTTATATTTATGGTTTTTTTTTAATTCTCTTTTGAAGATGATGTTGTTGTTATGTGCTGTCGAGTCACTTGCGACTCATAGCGACCCTATGTACAACAGCCCTAAACTCCTCTCTGTCCTGTGCCAATCGCACTGTCTCTTACACTCCCATCCCAATTATCCCAGTCACTGAATCAATCCACCTCATAGAGGGCCTTCCTCTCCTGCGCTGTCCCTCCACCCTCCCAAGCATGATGTCCCTCTCCAAGGACCGGTCTCTCCTCACAACATGTCCAAAGTATGTTAGACGGAGCCTCAGAATCCTTGCCTCCAAGGAGCCACCCGGTTTAACCCTTTCCAGGACAAATCTGTTTGTTTTCCTAGCAGTCCATGGTATTCTCAATACTCTTCTCCAGCACCACAGCTCAAAGGCATGAACTCTCCTTCTGTCCTCCCTAGTCAGTGTCCAACTCTCTGATGCATAACAAGCGATTGCAAAGACCATGGCCTGTATCAGGCGCACCCTTAGTCTCCAGAGAGACACCGTTGCTCTTGAGTACTTTAGAGAGGTCCCTAACAGCAGACTTTCCCATCGCGATACGCTTTTTGATTTCCTGACTGCTGGTGCCAAGAGTGTTGACTGTGGAGCCGAGCAAACTGAAGCTGTGAACAATCTCAGTCTCTTCGCCATCCATCCTGACGCTGCCAATTGGTCCAGTGGTGAGAATCTTTGTCTTCTTGACATTGAGCCTCAATCCATACTGGAGGCTGCAGTCCTTGACACTCTGCAGCAGGCGCTTCAGGTCCTCTTCAGTTTCAGCAAGCAGGGTTGTGTCATCTGCATAACGCAGATTGTTGATAAATCGTCCACCAATCTTGACCCCACATTTCTCCTCATAGAGCCCAGCCTCCCGGATAATCTGTTCTGCATATAGGTTGAAAAGGTATGGAGATAGGATGTGTCCCTGGAGTACGTCCTTCCCAATTTTGAACCGTGCAGTGTTCCCTTGCTCTGTTCTGACGACTGCCTCCTGGTCCAAGTATGATGATAGCAAAGTTAAATTTATTGGAGAAGATACGACCATAAAAAAAGTGAGGTGGGTCAGTCCTCCAGAAGTGGAGGACCTGCTCTCTGTTTTATTATGCTTAATTATGACCACTCAAGCATCTGTTTCTAGAACCTTTTCCTGCTTTTGAGTTCCACCATATTCTTTGATTTTTTTTTTCTTCTTTAGTTTTTTCTTCTTTTTAATTGTGATGAAAATATACACATTAAAACATTCATCAGCACAACCTCCACATTTGTAATTCAGTGATGTGGTCACTTTTTTCATGTTGTGCTACTATTCTCACTGTCCTTTTTCAAAATATTCTACGACAAAATATTCTACAATTCTGTGCCCTCAAACAAAAACAAAAACTTTCTTCTTTCCTGATAACCATTAATAATTTCTGGGGTTTTTAATGTATTTGCTTGTTTTGTGTAAATGAGATCATATAATAATTGTCCACCACCTTTTTTTATTCATTGTTGTACATTTTCTTCCTCCCCCCACTAACTCACCTTGTAATGCACCCCTTGTTCCATATGTCTAATTATATATTCCTTTCAGACAGTTCTTCCTCTCATCTGTTCCCATGTAGTTCATTATCTGTCCACTCTTTCCCCATTCTCTCCCCAACTCCCTCTCTTCCAACCCCCATCTGTCCTATTTTGTAATAGCAGTGTTATGCATTATTTGTCCTTATGTGACTGAGATATTTCATTCAGCATAATGTCCTCCAGGCTCCCCCATGTTTTGTAATGTTTTATTAGTTCATTGTTTTTCAATGCTGCATAATACTCTATTGTTTGAATGTACCATAGTTTTTCTATCCACTTATTTGTTGATGGGCACTTGAGTTGCTTGCATCACTTTGCTATTGTGAGTAGCGCAGCAATAAACATGGGTGGGCATACATCTGTTTGAATTGTGGCTCTGGTTTCTTTTATGTATATTAGTAGTAGTAGAATGTCTTGAGAAAGCACTAGACCTCCTTATATAGTGGCTGTACCATTTTACATTCTCACCAGCAGTGAATAAGAGTTCCAATCTCTACACAACCTTATGAGCATTTGTTATTCACTGTCCTCTTGAACTTTGCTGCTGTTGCTGGAAATTGCCCCTTTTCTATCTGTTGTATTTCACTCAGCTTAAACTTAGTATGGTTTAGTCATATTGAGGCATGCATCAGAGCTTCATTTTTCTTTGCGACTAATAGTATTTCATTGAGTGTCTGTGTGTCATTTTGGACAGCTGCTTCTTAGTCTAGGTGTAGGTTTTATGTGAACAAAATTAAGTATTCTGGGATTCCCATTCTTCTCAAGGTAATGCACCTTTTGTTATGGTCCACAGTGAAATGCCTTTACAGAGTCATTAAAACATCTTTTTGATATTCTCTGCTTTTAACATAGATACTTCTTATATCAGCAGTGATATCCTTGGTTGCAGAGTCCTTCTGAATCAAGTTCCCCATTTGATGACCTGTTGTAGCTGTTTTTTGAGTAATCTTCAGCAAGATTTTACTTTGATATTGATGATACACCTCAGCAATTTTTATAGTCTGTTGGCTCACATTTTCTTTTGGGATGGGAACAATTATGGATCTGTTTCAGTAAACTGGCCAGCCAGCCTGTCTTCCAGATTTTTTTGTATAGACTAACAAGCAAGTCCAGGGCTACATCTGTTTGTTGAATCATGTTAATTGGTATTCTGTCAGTTCTTGGGGCTTTATGTTTTGCCAGTGTCTTCAGTACAGCTTGAACTTCTTCCATCATTAACATTTATTTTTGATCATATAATCCTTCCTACATGGTTCTCTATTAAGCCAATTTTTTTTTATTTTATTATTTTTTTTTTGGTATAGGGACCCTGGGTATTCCTTTGATCTCCTTTTTCTAGTTTTATTGTTTTTTAAATTTATTTTGTTTTATACTGATTTACTTACAAAGTTTGTATACATTATTTTTCACACCAGATATTTTGATACTTCCTGCATTGTTCAAGATTTTGCCTGTAAAATCTTTCAGTATTGTTATTGAAGGCTTTAATTTAGTCTTTATTTTTTATGTATTTATTTTTTAGTTTGAGAAATGTTGAGCATGTTCTCTGGCACATATCTCAGACTCAGTCCTGGGACTGGACCCCTTACTATTTCTTTTTAAACTTTCACAGTTCAGCTGTACTGTTAGCTCTTATTATGAACGAGCCTGCACCCAAGAAAAAGAGGTTTGAAGAAAGTTTAGACACCTCCCTTGGAAAAAAGAAATCCCAATGTGATAGCACTCTGAACTCTCCCTTACAGGTTCTTTACATCTGGACAGAAGCTGGACTGGACAGACAGAAAGCTTGATCTTCCATTCAAAGTTGTTTTCAAAAGAAAGAAGAAACCTTAAAACAAGATTATGCATCCATGGATTGTGAAATTCTTAAGTCCTCGAGTGCATTCTGATTTGGGCTGGGGCCAGTATTATTCTAAAACTCCTGTTCATAAGCCTAGCAGCAGGTCAGAAGTTGAATGGCCACAACCTCTTTCTGTCCAAGCGCTAGTCCTTAGAGTCCTCAGTTTTGATGATCTTAACCAGGGTATTACTGCCGCCTTCTGCTCTGGAGAAAACACAGCATGTTGGTTGTTCAGTTAATCTATACCCTTTCTACACATATGAAATACAGTGCCTGTACCGTGATTCATAAACGGCTTCTGTCAGCCAAGGAAATTGATGACCTAATGTGAAGGCCAAATTGTTTGCTTTTCTGGGTGATGCTAATGGAAAAGGTCAGCAAAGCAGTTACATTTGAGCCACTGCATGATACTCAGGAATCTGCTCTCTGGGTCCTAGCGCCTTTGGAGAGGCTCTTCCTTCCCCTTTGAGTGAACTTTTGTCTTGTTGTCAGTGTCAGTTGTACTGTTGTCAAATGTCACCCGACCATGTTGTTGTTAATGTGCTGCTGAGTAGCTTGCGACTCATAGCGACCTGATGTACAACAGCCCTAAACCCTGCTCTGTCCTGTGCCACCTGATTGTCTCTGACACACCTCCCTCCATCACCCCAGTCACTGAGTCAGTCCATCTCATTGAGGGTCTTCCTCTCTTGCACTGTCCTTCACCCTCCCAAGCATGATGTCCCTCTACAAGGACTGGTCCCTTCTTGCAACATGTCCAAAGTATGTCAGACAAAGCTTCAAAATCTTTGCCTACAAGGAGCAGCCCGATTTCACCCTCTCCAGGATGAACTTGCTCATTCTCCTAGCAGTCCATGGTATATTCAGTGTTATTCTCCAGTATCACAGCTCAAAGGCATCTGCCTGACAATCTCAGAGGGGCTGTGCAAGTCAACAAGTGGCTTGTAGATCCTCATGTGGAAACGATCCCAGGTCTTTGCACCTTCCCGATAAGGACTCTTCCTTGTAGTGATTTTCAGAGTCTTGGTAGGCATCCTAACTGGTCCCTTCACCTTCTCCTTTGTGCTTCTGATCAAGTTGGCACACACCTTCTCCAGTGATTTTACGTTGTGGCTGCGTAGGGTAATCCTAATCCAGTGAATGGCCACCTCTGGTTCCACAGGCATCTTTCCTGTGTCCTTAAAAGGCATGGCTGTGGCATGGCTTCCTGACCGACTTGTTCCCCGGGGAGAGCAAACAATGGTCAATAAGGAGCAGGAGTGTAGCTGGGCCACTGCGTCTTCCTCAGCTGATGATTGTCTCTTCCATTTCAGAGATGTCTGCTGGGGCATTTTATTCGGGCATTGCATTGATCACTTTGAGTAGTACTGACATCTTCACTACGTTCAGCCTTTCAGTCCATGAACAAGAGGTATCTTTTCATTTCCCTAGGTTTTCTTTAGTTTCTTTAGTAATGTTTTAGAAATTTTTTTTATGTGTTTTTCACTTTCTTGGTTAAATTTATTCCTAGATACTCTGTTCTTTTTGATGCCACTGTAAAATGGTAACATTTCCTCAATTTCTTTGCTACTTGGTTACTGATGATGTATTGAAACCCAGTTGATTTTTGTGTTAACTTTGATCCTGCCACTTTGCTAAGTTCATTTATTAGTGAACTTCTTAGAGAAGCTCTAATAACATCATATAGAGTCTTCATGGTTTTTTGTATATAGAATCATGGCATCTGCAAAAAGGTGATAGTTTAACTTCCCTCTCTTTTGACGTGTATACTCCTCTCCCCTGACTCTGTCTATATCTTGAATGGTAGTGATGAAAGTGGGCATCCTTGTCTTGTTCTTAATCAGAAAGGTCTCAGCCTTTTTCTCTTGAGTATGATGTGGGTCTTGATTGATAAAGTCTGTTATGTATCCTTTTCCTGGTAGTGTCGTGTGTAGGGACTTAATGCTGCTAACCCAGAGGTTACCCTCCCTGGTGGCTTGAATCCATCAGTGGCTCTGCAGGAGGGAGAAGAGCACTCAGTCCCTTGTGATTTACAGTCTCTAAAAGCCTAATGGAAGATCACCTTCAGTCACCTTTGACTGGACAGCAATGAGCTGTGAGTTTCTTTTCCGAGCTCCCGTGAGAGAGGGTGTTGAAATTGTGTCCTGAAGTGTAGGGTGGAGTTCTGGATTCTCTTCTGCTTGGGATGTGGCGTTATACAGGATCTTGGTTCTGGCTGTATGAGCTCTCTATTCAAGTGTCGCTCCAGGCTGTGCACATTCAAGGTATACAAACATGGAAACCCCATGCAGAGAACTGTTGTGGTTTCCCACAGAGATACTCCTTTTTAATCTTCCCGGGACCCCAACCCTAGGTCTCTCTGGGATGAGAGCTGCTGCAGAAATGCTTGTACACAGACACACATTCCCACGGAAAGGGGTTTGGAAAAGCTCTAGGATCCTTCTCTTGCAAACAGCAAAATTGAATGTGAAGTGGTGTAGGTGTGTAAGAGCACTCAGAACCCTGCGTGGAGCATGCGGGAGAGGTGTGTGAGTGACGTGCAAGGACTCAGGGCCTGGAAGTTTTTACAGGTGCAACAGAGATAGAACAAACATCTTTTAAAAATTTTCGTTTTATATTATTTTGCTTACAAAGTTCATATACATTATGTTTCACACTATTCTTCATTCACATTGTGTATCATACACAGTCATTCCCATTCATTATCTTTAATAAAGTTAACCGCCATTTAATTCTGCCCACCATTACTTGTCTTTTCAGGTCCCAGATCTTTCCTGTGTCCTTTTGTTATTTCACCCCTACCCATCCTTAGTCCACTGTTCCCACCCCTTCCCCCTTTGGATCCTCATTTACTGATTATCCTCTTTTTAGAATAGTGGTCTTGTGCAGTATTTTTCCCTATGAAACTGAGTTAGTTCACTCAGCATAGTGCTCTTCCAGGCTCTCTCAAGTTAGGCAGTGATTTTCAAAATCATTGCTCCTGAGTGCTGCATTGTATTCCATTGTGTGAATGTACTGCAGTTTCTCAATCCATTCTGTTGTGGTTGGACATTTGGGCTGTTTCCATGTTCGTGTGTCGGTGACTAATGCTGTTGTGAACATTGGCGTATAACATTTATGTTTCAGTTCTGATTTCCTTGAGGTATATTCCTAGTAGTAGAACAGCTAGATTATATAGAATTTCTATGTTCAGCTTTTTGAGGAAATGCCAAATTATCTTCTAGAGTGATTGTACCATTTTACAATCCTACCAACAGTGTATGAGAGTTCCTCCCTCCCCACATCCTCTCCAACATTTATTGCTTGCTGCCCTCCTAAACCTTGCCATGGCTACTGGGGTGACATGGTGTCTCATTGTGGTGTTGCTTTGCATCTCTCTGATTGCCAGTGATTTTTAGTATGTCTTTATGTGTCTGTTGGCCATCCCAGTGTCTTCCTCTTTGAAAACTCTATGTCTTTTGCCTATTTTGTAACTGGTTTATTGGTCTTTTTGTTCTGGAGGTTCTGTACTTAGATGTTCTGATGCACAAAGACCAGCTGTTTTCCTCAGCATCTCCAGAGCTCAGGGCTTCAGCTCACTGATGTGTCTTTCCCTTCTTTCTCCTTGATTCTATGTGGACCCAGGTGAATGAGGCAGAAGAGGAGCGGCTGCGTGGCGAGCGAGAGCACCAGCGGGTGACACGGCTGTGCCAGCAGGCCGAGGCTCGGGTCCAGGCTCTGCAGAAGACCCTCCGACGGGCCATCGGCAAGAGCCGCCCCTACTTTGAGCTTAAGGCCCAGTTCAGCCAAATCCTGGAGGTAGTTGAGTGGGGACAGGAGGGAGAGTGGTTAATCAGGAACTGGAAGAAGGGGCCAGGCGGGGAAGTGAGGCAGAGAGGAGGGGAGACACAGTTCTTTCTTTCTTCTGGAGCCACCCTCTTTTTTGAGGTGTGTAAGACTTGTGGTGGGGTATGGTGTTGGCTCCCATACATAGAGTAAAACAACAGGATAAGAGACAGGCTAGAGATTGATGGCAGAGAATGCTGCTGAACAGGGGAAAGTAAGCCGGAAGAAAGGTGAGAACCAGGGACTGGGAAAGAGAGGACAGTGCTGAGTATATACTTACTATGGAATCAGTTTTGACTGTAACAGCCTAGAGCTAGGTCCGATTTTACAGGTTAAAGGCATTGCCTTTTACACTGCCAAGTCCACCCAGGACTTCACATACCAACCACAAGCTTTGGGATCCTCATTGCCACTTCTCTACACATTTGAGGATTCCCCTTACCCACTCAGGTGCATAATTCACTAGACTCAACTACAACTCAGCAGAGTGCTATACCTACAATTATAGTTTGATTACAGCAGAATGATAGATAGACATCAGTACCAACCCAAATAAGAGAAACATAAGATCTGGAAGGCTTCAAAAGGTGAAGTCTCTTCTTTTGGAGTCAGGATGTCATCCTCCCATTACATCAGACCTCGATCGTCAGTCAAGAAAACTTCCCGATCCTCGGTGCCCAGCGTTTTTATTGTGGCTTCACTGTGGACACGTGATTGATTGACTTTTTCTCAGTGAGCTAGCACTCAGTCTCCATCGCTCCTTTTTTTCCTGAGGGCCTGCTATCCTCCCTGGACTGGTAGTGTATTCAGGTGTGGTTAGGAGCCCACCATGAATGACAAAAGCCCCCCCCCCCCCAGTCATTTGGGTAATTCCTGGGGCTTAAAAGAGAACTCTCAGATACAAGCAACAAAAGCCAAAATCCTGGAGTAAGGTTAATTCATCACCCCACACTCAGTTAATGGGGATGGAAGAGAAGCACCAGCAGGTGGGGATGAGGGCCTAGGACAGAGGCACTGGAAGGTACAAGGGTGAGGCCAGGAGAGGAGTGTGTCAGCTGATGGTAGCCCCTACATGCCTCAGTGGCTCATGGGGGACAGTGCAGGAGGGCCGTGGGAGGGTGTATGTGGAAGGAAGTTTTTATGGGTGTGAGAGAGGAAGCTTGTTTATGTCTCAGCACTGAGTTCTGAGCGGGGCTGGTGGGATCTACGTAGCTCCAGGTTCACCTCAGAATGCCCTATCCTCTGCAGGAACACAAGGCCAAGGTGACAGAACTGGATCAGCAGGTGGCCCAGGCCAAGACCTGCTACTCAGTTGCCCTGCGGAACCTGGAACAGATCAGCGAGCAGATTCATGCCCGACGCAGGGGCTTGCCAGCCCACACCTTGGGTCCACGTCGATCCTCCCCTGTTGGGGCTGAGGCTGGCCTGGAAGGCAAAGACGGGGACAGTGGGATTGAGGGTGCCGAGGGTGGGGGGCTGGATGAAGGAGGCAGCTTGGGGCCTGGCCCCGCCCCTGACACGGACACACTAAGTCTGCTGAGCCTGCGCACCGTGGCCTCGGACCTGCAAAAGTGTGACTCGGTTGAACACCTGCGGGGCCTTTCGGACCACGCCAGCTTGGATGACCAGGAGCTGGGGCCCAGAAGTGGGGGGCGCCGAGGAAGCGACGGTGGGGCTCGTGGGGGCCGCCACCAGCGCAGTGTCAGCCTGTAGTCGATGTCTTGAGAACACTGTCCCACTCAGGTGCCCCTCTCCTGGGGCTGGCCCTTCCCCCAAGTCACCTGCAGTGCTTCCCTTTGAGAGGCTGGCTAGGTCTGGAGTGCTCTGTCTGCCGTGGCTTTCTCACAGCGTCCCCCCACCCCCAGGTGGCAGCTCTCACCTTGCCTTACCTCCGAAGTTTCACTTTTGGCTCGCTCTCTTTTCCTGCTGGTTCCTCTCAGTCTAAGGAACTCTGTCTTTCACTTTCATTCTTCTGTCTGATCCTTTCTTCCATTCCTCTGGCTTTCCTCAGCCGTGGAACTTGATCTTGAAGGTGTAGGGAAGTCTGTTAAGAGAAGTGGGTGAAGTAGGGCTGAGTCCTGTTCTAGCTGCCCCCAGTCTGAGTGACTAGATGGGTCCCTCACATTGTCTCCCCACCTCAGGCAACCCTGGTGACACTAAAGAGCCCTCTTGGAAACCCTGCATTTATGTCTTCCCACACTGCCCAGAGTATAACTCCTAAGACAGACTCCTCCCTTGAAAACACTATCCTTCTGTTCAGTGTTAGCCTCATGACTCTAGCGGCTCTGGTACATGTACCCCAAAGCAGGACTTACAGGGTAACTGTCAGGAAAGAGGAAACCCAAGCCCAGAATCAGTGTAGTGAACACTAAGTCCAAGCTGGCTGGCTCTATTCACGTTTCACCAGTCAGACTGGGTCCCTTCAGATTGCAAAGGTGCTATTGGGAGTGGGTGTGAGGATTTAATTATGTCCTGATGATGGAGGCCCCCACCATTCCTGGTCCTCATCCCCTTGCGGAGGAGTGAGGTTTACCTTTCCTGGGTAGAGCAGCTGAACTGAATTTCAGCACGCTTCTGCAGGGTGACATAGGGATTTTGGTGCTCAATTGTTCTCGCTGGCTCTTCCTCATACCAAACAATTTTTTCCCTCCAGGATTCCTTGGGGAGTGTTCAAGTACGGCTACCCAGCCTCCTATGTCCCCTGCTGAAGGGATGCAGAGTCCTGGGTCCTGACCCTCTACAGACAGCCCTCAGTGCCTTGTGCTGCTCCCAGGCTGCAGGGAGAGGTGTGAGAACCACACCGGGATGGGAGTGCCTTGGGAGAGCCAGGCTTTCTCTTGTTTGACCCCGGTGTGAGAGCGGGGCTCTGCACAGGTGTATGTTGGTCTGTCCTGTTCCTCCACGTGGAGGGCACCTTCATAACGAGTGTCTCCATGTCCTCTGGTTCAAGGAGAACGGTCATAATGAGAACCACAGGTTTGAGGTGGCCTTTGAGTGGAGAGGGGCAAGGGAACAAGGACAAGAGTGTATGTGCGCGTGCTTGCATGTGCAGGTGTGTGGGCGAGATGGTCTACTGCTGGTTTTATTTAAATAAAATAGTTTATGTAACAGTAATGTTTACTGTCCCTGTCAGAATTGAGGATGAGGTAGGTGGAGAAAAGCAAAGAGGGCTCTTGAGTCTTTTGGGAGTCATCATCTGAACCCAGAGTTGCAGGATAAACTGGAGGGAAGCAGGCTAGGGTAGGTGGGAGACATTCCAGGTGGAGAGGTGGGTGGTTGCACTTCCGTGGCCAGGCATCCTTCAGATGATGGCAGGTGACATGGATAAATGGTGCTGGTGATGGGCTCACGGGCACAAAGAGGAGGATGCAGGGTCAGGGTGAGTAATGTCAAATCATGGAAGTCCAGGGGGAGAGATGGTGCTGGAAGAGGTGGGATTCTGTATGTGCCACAGTGCCTCAGTGTGAGCCTGAAAGAAAAGGGAGTGCTAGATTGGTAAAGTATAAATAATGTCCAGTTCACTTTCCAATAAATGGTGGGGATTTTGGGTCCATAGAACGTCCAGCACATAAAATGAAAATTAGTCATTGTCTACCCAAAATTCACACAGCACTGTATATAGGTGACTTCCAAATTGGGCTTGACCCGATTGATGGAGAGGGTGGAATTGAATTCTTTTGGACTCGTGGTTGGAGATAACTTTGAAATATGGTGAAATCTGGTCTGGAGATGAGAAGATGAGAATTTAAATAGCTGAATAGATAGGGAGCAGAAGGTTTTGTGCTGAGCTGTGAGGTAATACCAGCATCCAGAGCCAGATGAAGGTGTGGTCAAGGAGCTCTCTAGGAGAAGGTGAAGGACCTTGTTTGGAGAGTGCCAATGGAGCTGAAAGATGGGTGCAGGTTTAAAACTGGAGTAACATGAGGACAAGGCAGTGATGATGACCCAAACTTGATCAATGTCCCTGAAGAGGTGGCAGTCAATGCCAAACATGAGTGGGGCCCTCACTTTGTGCTTAAATATGATCTAGCTCAAAGAACTGAAGAGCAAATTCAAACCTCGAATTGCTATAATTAAGGATGCTTTAGGCAGAATTTTAAATGATCCAGGATGTATTAAAAGAAGATGGAAAGAGTATACAGAGTCACTATAAAGGAATTGGCAGATGCAGAAGAATTTCAGGAAACAACATATGAGCAAGAGCCTATGGTGATGAAGAAGTTCAAGCTGCTTTGAAGGAAATAAAAGAAAAAAAAATAAAGCCCCAGGAATAGATAGTATACCAGTTGACGTATTTCAACTAACTGCTCTGGACGTGCTCACCAAGTTGTGCCAAGAAATCTGGAGAACAACTACTTGGCCAACTGACTGGAAGAGACCTAGATTTGTTCCCATTCCAAAGAGAGTTGACCCAACAGAATATGGAAATTATCGAACAATATCATTGGTATATACAAGCAAGATGCTGCTGAAAATTATCCAAAAACGACTAAATAGCACATCAGCTCAGAACTGCCAGAACTGCAGGCTGGGTTTAGAAGGGGTTGTGGTACTAGGGACATTGTAGCTAATGTTAGATGGAGCTTGACTAAAAGCAGGGAATACCAGAGAAATGTCTGTGTTTCATTGACTATGCCAAGGCATTTGACTGTATGGATCATAACAAACTGTGGCTGACTCTGAGAAGAATGAGAATCCCAGAACATTTGATTGTGCAAATGTGAAACCTATACTTGGACCAAGAGGCAGTTGTCAGAACAGAGCAAGGAAATAGTGCATGGTTCAAAATTGGGAAAAGTGTATGCCAGGGATGTGTCCTATCTCCATATCTTTTCAACCTGTTGGCAGAACAGATTATCCGAGAGTCTGGGCTCTATGAGGAGAAGTGTGGCATCAGGATTGGTGGAATATCTATTAACAATCTGCATTATGCAGTTGACACAACTATGTTTGCTAAAATTGAGGAGGATCTGAAGTGCTTGCTGCAGAGGGTCAAGGACTGCAGCCTTCAATATGAATTAAGGCTCAGTATCAAGAAGACAAACATTCTCACCACTGGGCCAATTGGCAGCATCAGGATGGATGGTGAAGAGATTGTGATTGTTCACAGCTTTAGTTTGCTTGGCTCCACAGTCAACACCCTTGGCAACAGCAGCCAGGAAATTAAAAGACATACTGTGATGGGGAAGTCTGCTGTTAGGGACCTCTCCAAAGTACTGAAGAGCAATGGTGTCACTCTGGAGACTAAGGTGTGCCTGATAAGAGGTCATAGTCTTTGCAATCACTATGCTTCAGAGAGCTGGAAAATGACTAGGGAGGATAGAAGGAGAATTGATGCCTTTGAGCTGTGATGGTGGAGAAGAGTATTGAGGGTACCATGGACTGCTAAAAGGACAAACAGATTCATTCTGGGCTGCTCCTTGGAGGCAAGGGTTCTGAGGCTTCATCTGACATACTGTAGACATGTTGCAAGGAGGGACAGGTCCTTGGAGAGGGACATCATGCTTGGGAGGGTGGAGGGATAACACAGGAGGGGAAGACCCTCTATGAGGTGGATTGATTCAGTGACTGGGGTAATGTGGGTAGGTGTGTCAGACACAGTGTGATTGGCACAGGACAGAGCAGGGTTTAGGGCCGTTGTACATAGGGTTGCTATGAACGGCACATAACAACAACAATCAGAGGGGGCTTCCCTGACCTGGTTTCTGAACTTAATTCTGAAATACAGATATGTGCTTTAATATGAGAAATACAGAATATTGCTTGTTTACTAAAAAGGCAGCTGCAAGTGTGCATGGCTTTGTGCCAATGTGAGGATCAGCCACCTTAGGCAGCATAGGACCTGTGAATCTTCTGAAATGGAGAAGTCCCAGAAAACGGGCTGAGGTCTGCCTACCTCCTCTTTTCCTTACAAAGTAACTTACTAGATATGTCACCCCTCTGTGGGCCATAGATGAGTGGGGAGAGGTCATGGGTGAGTTAAAGCCAATGGAGCTTCCCACTTGTGGAAGAGCAAACTGTGGCAAAACATTCCAGTAATTGATTAATGGGCTTAATAATTGTGGCTTACACATCTCCTCACTTAACAACCTGGCATAGGTAATTCCACCCGTTTACAGATGAGGAAGCAGTGGTCTAGCCTCAAAATAGTGGAGCTTGGCTTCAATTCAGGCTCCTGGACTTGAATCCAGATTAGAGGCCCTTCAGTGAAAAGAATGGGAGGTGAGGACATGGTGACAGTGGGTGGAGCCACCTATTAGTAAGGTTACTGGGAAGAGAAACAAGTACAGCAGGAAGGTTACGATGAGCACGAGATGGTGTAGGTGGCACCTCACCCTTGTTCTGTATGGTGCTGGCTAACTTCACAGGCCCTGTACTATGTTGCTCACATGTGGAGCTGGGGCTGCCACTGTAGTCGACCTAACACTGCACACATCTGTTGCCTAAAAGAGCTCAGAAAATGTGCTTTTACTTTTCCCAGTTTGAATCTTTGCCAGGCAACTGTACCATTACTGAGTCTAGGAGGTCAGATTCTGAGGCAGTCTCAGGAACAAATGCCCAATACACTGAGGAGACTCCTCTATTTCTCCATTTTAAATGGGTTTAATAATTGTGTTTCGTATGATCATTTTGCCTAATAATGGGGAAATCTACGTGTGCTGAGCACAGATGTTTGGTGATGTTTGGTGACATCGTGAGCCTATGAACAAAAA